CTATACTGAAATAATGTCTTTATTACGGTGTGCGCCTTTTGTCTAGAAAAAAAAAATAATAACAAAGAATCGGATTGAGAAAGAAAGAAAGCTTTATAATATATGCGTAGGTGCTACATAACATGCATAAATACGTGCACAATAAGCAGATGAGTACGACAATACGACGAGAGCCGCTGCAAACGCAATTTTGCACGGATGCCGATCGAATTTGAATACAATGTACCTGGCCATATTATATTATCCGGAGCGTCGTACTCACCGACATCGAAAGCGACGCGATTAGTTCGAGGTTGGAGCCTTGGTTGGGTGGGTGGGGGAGGAGGTGTGGGTGTGAATACCGTTTTTGTTTCCGACCTTCAGCTATTATATTGGATGTACAAGTATGCTACGCAGCGTGTATACGTTTTGTACATTTTCCGTTACACTCTTTGGCAGACCGTATATAGTTGTACATCACAAAGGGTTTCGTTGAGCGCGGGGCTTGCACGTATTATTATTATGTATATAATAATAATACGTGAATGTTGTGTACGCAGATAAGTCTGGCAGAAAGGTGGTTTTCGGAATTTCCCAGTAGTATTCAGAAAGTCGCGAAACTCGTCTGCAAAAACGTTGACCATGCGGGAAATCAGTTCTGTTATATAGCTTCCGGAGGATAACTTTTTAACCTCAATTTACGGCTTTATTTTTTTTTTTTTGTTTTACTTTCGTCTTAAATCCTAGAAGACATTTCAGATTTTATCAACTGTTTATTTTTTTCACGCCGTCAGCGTGATCTTATAGCCTGAATTATTATTATAATGCGATTATTTTCTATGGTTTTATTTTGCTAACATTTGCAATTTTAATTTCCAGAAGCCTGAACGGAGCTTAATACCGGTTTAATCATACAATATTCATTACGCTATAGGATTCATTAAATGTTGAAAATCTTGAGTCATAAATTAAATTTATGAGCACTTAAGTTTGTATAAACTCACTATAAATACTATAGAAACCGAGCACCACGCAGAATCGTTTTTAAAATGCGATTATAATATATTATATTTTATCGTCATCACACTTTTATTTTTACCTTTGTACAATTTATGTATCATGACGTAATGTATAGGCAAAACAGGTACACCGCTGTGTAGGAGAACAACATTTGAAAATTTAAAATTCAAAATACAAGCAATAATAATAGTTGTTTGAACTACGTACCAGCGAAATAAAAATATGAAACGGTACGGTAACCACGACCTTTGACCGACCGAAATTGTGGGTGAACCATTATATTTGCATACTCGTTGTTTAATAATATTATATTTAAAAAATATCAGTTACCATTTTGCTTTTATAAATCTCATTTTGTCTAGTATATTTTTCATCAATCGTTTTGTTCGCATTGATTTTCGAACGCGAATTGTTGTCATAGGTACTTAATACTTAATACTAAAAAAATGTATACTACGAATTATTATTAGCTTAGTAAATATAATATAGCGTGTGATATCATACCGAATAGGACTGTTTGCTTTCCACTGGTATATAAATATATTCCATGTAATCATGGATATTATATTACGCAATAGCCAATAGTCATATTTTTTTGCGTTCAATTTTTTATGTACAACTCGTCATGTAGATGACAAATTGATACATATTAATACATTTTATGATATTCGATTAGAGTGGGTTTACCGACACCAGCACTTCGGCTTTCGAATGGTAGGTATAAATATTTTTTATATCCAGAATAATATTGCATATTAAAATAACAAGAATACTTTTTATTAAAAATAGTAATTAAAGTATTGAATAGGGAATTCAACAAAAAAGATGTTTACATCGAAATCATGCATGTTTAATATCATATGAATTCAATAAAAAAAATATTATACATTATTATAAAAGTAGGCACATAGTTTTGGTTGTATTATATTATATTTGATAAGCCATGCTTCTCTTTAGAATATTAAGTCAAACAAGACGACAATTAGTACAAGTAAAAAAAAAAAATTGTAAACGACTTGCAAAAATTGTGTATTTTAATATAGCCGGTCTATCAAGTCCAGAAAACCGATCACTTAGGTATACCTCTAGTTCCATGTCTACAGTCAGACTGCAATCATTGATTACTTTGATGGCATCGTTATAAAATATATTATTAGGTATAGAAGAATATCACTATCCCTCTGTACCGCAGTTGTGGTTCGAGATCAGAGCTTAAACGAAACTCCAGGAATGTTTTTTTTTTTATTTTGTTGGTACGTATAACGTTTAAAATATTTGGAACAACAATAGTATTTTATTATTTTTTTTTCATTTTTGGATAAACTATATAACAACCAGGATATGTGCATGATGGAAATTTAATGAAAAGGTTCAGCTTCCGATAAAAATGACTGTAGATGGTTAGTGATGATGACGGGTACTTGCAGTAAATCATTTCCACATTATCATAAATCGAAAAAGTAATGGGGAATAGAAGAATGTAGGGATCCCATAAAAATTCTGTATAAAAGCCATAATGTTCCTTTATTGTAAACTAGCTGTTTCACAGTGGTTTTCCATTCCGCCCTTTCCAACAGCATTTTCGTCTTTACAGTGTATTAGAGTTTTTTTTTATATACACACAAACGTATACAACGATGGCTTGAGCGTCGATATTGGCTGTAGAAATTATTCGTTTAAGCTATTGATATAAAACATACATCAATATTAATTTTTTTTTTCCATTCATAGAGGTTTTAACGTAAATAATAATATTATAACCATAATGTACCTACTTAAACGCTTTTAATAAAAAATCGTGATGTCTTATCATAATAAAATATGACAGTTACACCATAAGTTTCCGATGAATAATTTATCCATTTAAATATTACATTTAATCAATATGTTATTATAGATAAAAAACTAGGCAAAACATATTTACAGTACTATTTATTTGTGTTTGTTATATTAATTTTATAATTTCTTGTGTAAAGAATACGAATTTATTTTAGTTTTAAGAATATGAATTCACAGTAAGTAGTACAAAAATGTTTTTATAATAGATACATAATATTATTATAAATACCACTGTACTGCTCGTGACTGAAATCGATGACTCAAACTTGAATATAAACTAAACAGAGCACGTAAACCAAATTGAAAACCAATTTATAAAAACCAAACTACTCTCCAAATAAATTTTAATAATCTAATGTAAAAATAAAAATATTTTATTTATAATATCGACACTTGTTGAAATACAATCTGATACATTCGAATAAACAGAAATATAAAATATATATCTCATGATTTTATAAAACCATGAAATATAAATATATCTCATGATTTTATAAAACCACAGCTGAATGTTCCTATCTTATTCATAACTAGTATGGGCTGCTGTATCCTAAACAAAAATTAAAAATTACAATTTCACTCAACAACAGTGGTGTAAATAGGATTTAATTTCGGGGGAAGTTTTAGAAATTAAAATTTGGGATTCTCGACAGTATAATTAATAATAATAATAATTGTACACACACATACTTTTATTTTCGGTGGTTGGAGGGGGGGGCTATATCCTTTTACCACCTACATACGCTACTGTTCAATAATATAATATTTTTACAGACTTAATAAAACCAAAAGTACTCTCCTCTTCAGAATATGTGAAAAAACCACCAAACTTAGATTAAATCCCGTCTAGGTACCTCAAGATATCTCTTAAAATATATTTAAGAAATTTGTAATGTTTTTATTGTGACATAGTAAAATGATTTTATCAACTAGTTCTATTATCTTTTGTTCCACAACATACAATATCCTTTGTGATTGTAAATTATAAATTAAATGAAATGGGTTTAATTTAATATCATATTATGTTAAAAATAAATTAAGCGGTAAAAAATAATCACAATAAAATAATTTCATGATACATGCACAAATAAAATATATTACACAGTTTAAACTAATTCCTGGAAAATAATCCTTAATAATAATTAATATTATTGCAACTACAGTTAAAATATTTCACCAACCAAGTGTATTTTTAAATGTTTACCCTAATTTAAAATGTCGTTAAACATTAATATACTTGTTAGATATATGGAGGAAGCTTTGGATACGCCTTTGCTACATAATATTTCCCACACATATTCTACACAATACATAGTCGGTTGACTATTTTTATTGGACTTTAAGTCCGTTCCGATCAAAGAAAAATTTGATTCGTATTTAAAGAAACTCGACTTACAGGATAGATTCACTCTGGAAAAAGTTTACAATAGCAAGGAGATAAGACTAAAACTGATTACGACATGGTTGCAAATTATATTTTTGCTTCCAAAACTAAAGGCCAATGTCATACCTAAATATAGACGTCAATTGCCATTAAAAAAGAAAAAAATATAATGATAAGCATGCTTGGTAAATCACCTTGTATACTCCAGTATTTCATTATTTGGCACAGTTTTATTCACTTGCAAAATTTGAATTAAAATGTACTCCGTTCATAGTAACCATATTCAAATATATATAGTTTCCATGACAATGGTCAGGTACTGTTAAAATAACATTTGTCTTTCATTTCACAATTTACTGTTTAAAGATTGCTTACAGATTATTGTCTTTACAGTTATTAAAATTATAACTCACCTTCGTCTCTTATAACTTTATCTTCGAATGGTACATTAAATCCGTTTGTTTTGGAGGATATCATCAGCACGAGACGAGCAAGCTATTACGTCACCGCTTCCGCCAATCGACTCAAAATATTATACCATTCCTTGCTGAACGTTGCAGTGCTGACTCTCATCGAAATGGAAAGCAAAGTGCCTTCCGATTTGAATATTCAAAAAATTTGAGCGCAGCCCGAACTCAATTTAGAGGTTCTGCTGGTCGCTTGTGTGGACTCGCCGCATCGGAATGCGGATGTTAAAACAACGAACCGGGTCGTCACCAAAAAAACGGCTCGACATAGACGCCGATCGTATTCCACACCTTCGATTTCGTCAAGTCCCATGTATTTAAACGAGGGCTGCACGAGACGAGCAAACTATTACGATGCCTCTGCCACGAAATGGCTAAAAATATTATACAATTCCGTACCGAACATTGCAGCAACGCTCGAAACGGAAAACAAAGTGCCGTCAGATTTGATGGTCCAAACAACGGTCAATCCAGGCAATCCGGGCAATCCGGAAGTCGATGCGGTTGTGCCGCTGGTCGCTTGTATGGACTTGCCGCATCGGAAAACGGATGTTAAAATAACCGACCAGGTGGTCCCCAAACAAACGGCTTTACATAGACGCTGATCGTATTCAATGTCTTCGATTTAGTTAAGTCCTATGCCCATCGATTTAAACAAGGCCTGCAGGTGTGCAAACTTTTACGGTGGCGCGGCTACGAAACGACTAAAAACATTATACCATTCCGTGCCGACCATTACAGTTAAAACAAAGTGCCGTCCGATTCGATCCGATCCGATTTCGAGTGTTGAAATGACGGAGTCTAGAATCCGACAGCACGAAGTCTATGTTGAGGTGCCGCCGGTCGCTTGTGTGGACTTGCAGCATAAGGGTACGGATGCCAAAATAACAGATTTGGTGGTCACCGACAATACTATTAAGCAAAGATGACAAACAATTTGGTTCCGCACCAAAAAATTTTTTAGCCGTTTTTTTACAGCTACTTTAGATTAGATAATTATTGTACATTTATATAAACATTATATTATATTATTGTATTATACTTACACTAAATAGCATTGATTACAAGTAATATAATAGTATGTTTATGTTGAATAATTCAATATCGGTTTCTACCTATTTATAATATGATGTTGCAAGGCAATTTTTTCGGAACCAGTTAATTATTCAAAACAAAACCAAAATAATAATGCCGGTTGCCGTAGTGTTACATACTATAGTAATTTGTTATGTTTATAAAACCACCATAATATATTTTAGATTCTGAGCGGAGCGATGAATGTATTGGTTTTACAATGATGTATGTTTTTATATTTTAGATTCTGAGCGGAGCGATGAATGTATTGGTTTTACAATGATGTATGTTTTTATATTTTTATTTATATTTTTGTGTCTGTCATCACGTTTTGGGACAGTAAAAGTGCTTCGATTTTCTTCAATAGTACCTTTTCTGATAGGAAAGTGAATCTAGTTGGTACTTTGGGGGGTCAAAAGTAAACATTTTCCAGTAGTTTTCACAAGCGCCGGGAAAAACAACATAAAAATTAAGGAAAAACGGGAATTTTTACGCAAAATCGATTTTCCAAAAAATCGAATTTGGTTATTGGTGTAACTTTAAAACAAATGACCGTAGATAAATGAAATTTTCACTGGTTGTTTATATTTGCATTTTCTATACACGATAACATTTTCAAAATATTTTGATTTATTTTGAACTGTTTAGGGACATTTTCATTTTTCATTTTTTTTAGTTTTTTTTCTAGAAATATCAATAAAATTTTATTTGTTGGTTGCGAAAGCTTGAAAATTTAATAGAAGGCTCCTAACATGTTGTTTCAAAGGCAGATGAAAAATATTAAAAATCCTTAGTCACAATTTTTTTTTATAAGCATTTAAAGTTCAAAAATTGACAAAATATGGAAAAATCACGAAAATTAGCAAATTATTTTGAGTTAAGAATTCGTAAAAATTTTTCTTTTTAAATCTAAGATTTGAAAATGAAACACAAGATTCCTTATAAGATTATCTACCTTTATCAATAAAAAAATCTCTACCGGACAGTCAAATTAAATTTTTATGAGCGTTTGAAATTCAAATTTTTACAATATTGGATTTTCACTCGATTTCTCATGTAGCGATTTCCTTATTTTGTTGTAATTCAAAAACGAATAACTGTAGATACATGAAAATTTCACTGAATGTTTATATTAGCATTTCCTATACACCATACAATTTTGAAAATATTTTGACTCTTTTTGAGCTGTTTATGGACATTTACAGCTTTCAATTTTTTTAGTTTTTTTTTCTATAAATATCAATAAAGTTTTATCTGTTGGGCCAAAAAGTGTAAAAATTTAATACAAGGCTCCTGATATATTGTTACAATATCAGTTGAAAAATATTAAAAATACATAGGCACGATTTTTTTTATAAGCATTTAAAGTTGGAATTTTGACAAAATTTATCAAAATCTAGAAAATTATCAATCGTTGGACTTAAAAAATTATAAAATGTTCAGTTTTTATAACTAAGAGTTGAAAATTTAAAACAAAGATTCTCTTAAATAATTCATATTGTAACCAAAAATTCTAAAAAATATATAAACACAATTGTTTTTTACAGACATTTTAATTTCAAATGTAGACAATATTTCATATTTAAACCAAGAATTACGATTTTAGTTATTTTGTTGTGATTGAATAATATTATTCGTGGGTACTTGAAACTTCTAAAGTGTACTATTATATATCTATGATAGTATCACGGTTTTTGTTGATGTATAACGCGTTATAAGTATCTAATGGTTATTGTGATATGATTAATTTGGAATTTATTATAGGTACCTATTATAGGTCAATTTTTTGTTTAATACCATAAATATGTATATAATATGTCTTATACCTAGTAGGACATACCGTCTCCGCTCAGAATCGTTTTTCTTATACAATGATATTATATCATTGAATTCAAATTTAATACCATCCATTATACAGTGACCCACTTGTAACCTACTGTACAGCAGAGCGACACCCACTTGCCCACCTTTTTATATTTTTATTTATATTTTTATTTATATTTTTATTTATATTTTTGTGTCTGTCATCACGTTTTGGGACAGTAAAAGTGCTTCGATTTTCTTCAATAGTACCTTTTCTGATAGGAAAGTGAATCTAGTTGGTACTTTGGGGGGTCAAAAGTAAACATTTTCCAGTAGTTTTCACAAGCGCCGGGAAAAACAACATAAAAATTAAGGAAAAACGGGAATTTTTACGCAAAATCGATTTTCCAAAAAATCGAATTTGGTTATTGGTGTAACTTTAAAACAAATGACCGTAGATAAATGAAATTTTCACTGGTTGTTTATATTTGCATTTTCTATACACGATAACATTTTCAAAATATTTTGATTTATTTTGAACTGTTTAGGGACATTTTCATTTTTCATTTTTTTTTAGTTTTTTTTCTAGAAATATCAATAAAATTTTATTTGTTGGTTGCGAAAGCTTGAAAATTTAATAGAAGGCTCCTAACATGTTGTTTCAAAGGCAGATGAAAAATATTAAAAATCCTTAGTCACAATTTTTTTTTATAAGCATTTAAAGTTCAAAAATTGACAAAATATGGAAAAATCACGAAAATTAGCAAATTATTTTGAGTTAAGAATTCGTAAAAATTTTTCTTTTTAAATCTAAGATTTGAAAATGAAACACAAGATTCCTTATAAGATTATCTACCTTTATCAATAAAAAAATCTCTACCGGACAGTCAAATTAAATTTTTATGAGCGTTTGAAATTCAAATTTTTACAATATTGGATTTTCACTCGATTTCTCATGTAGCGATTTCCTTATTTTGTTGTAATTCAAAAACGAATAACTGTAGATACATGAAAATTTCACTGAATGTTTATATTAGCATTTCCTATACACCATACAATTTTGAAAATATTTTGACTCTTTTTGAGCTGTTTATGGACATTTACAGCTTTCAATTTTTTTAGTTTTTTTTCTATAAATATCAATAAAGTTTTATCTGTTGGGCCAAAAAGTGTAAAAATTTAATACAAGGCTCCTGATATATTGTTACAATATCAGTTGAAAAATATTAAAAATACATAGGCACGATTTTTTTTATAAGCATTTAAAGTTGGAATTTTGACAAAATTTATCAAAATCTAGAAAATTATCAATCGTTGGACTTAAAAAATTATAAAATGTTCAGTTTTTATAACTAAGAGTTGAAAATTTAAAACAAAGATTCTCTTAAATAATTCATATTGTAACCAAAAATTCTAAAAAATATATAAACACAATTGTTTTTTACAGACATTTTAATTTCAAATGTAGACAATATTTCATATTTAAACCAAGAATTACGATTTTAGTTATTTTGTTGTGATTGAATAATATTATTCGTGGGTACTTGAAACTTCTAAAGTGTACTATTATATATCTATGATAGTATCACGGTTTTTGTTGATGTATAACGCGTTATAAGTATCTAATGGTTATTGTGATATGATTAATTTGGAATTATTATAGGTACCTATTATAGGTCAATTTTTTGTTTAATACCATAAATATGTATATAATATGTCTTATACCTAGTAGGACATACCGTCTCCGCTCAGAATCGTTTTTCTTATACAATGATATTATATCATTGAATTCAAATTTAATACCATCCATTATACAGTGACCCACTTGTAACCTACTGTACAGCAGAGCGACACCCACTTGCCCACCTTTATTTTTATTTTTATTTATATTTTTATTTATATTTTTGTGTCTGTCATCACGTTTTGGGACAGTAAAAGTGCTTCGATTTTCTTCAATAGTACCTTTTCTGATAGGAAAGTGAATCTAGTTGGTACTTTGGGGGGTCAAAAGTAAACATTTTCCAGTAGTTTTCACAAGCGCCGGGAAAAACAACATAAAAATTAAGGAAAAACGGGAATTTTTACGCAAAATCGATTTTCCAAAAAATCGAATTTGGTTATTGGTGTAACTTTAAAACAAATGACCGTAGATAAATGAAATTTTCACTGGTTGTTTATATTTGCATTTTCTATACACGATAACATTTTCAAAATATTTTGATTTATTTTGAACTGTTTAGGGACATTTTCATTTTTCATTTTTTTTAGTTTTTTTTCTAGAAATATCAATAAAATTTTATTTGTTGGTTGCGAAAGCTTGAAAATTTAATAGAAGGCTCCTAACATGTTGTTTCAAAGGCAGATGAAAAATATTAAAAATCCTTAGTCACAATTTTTTTTTATAAGCATTTAAAGTTCAAAAATTGACAAAATATGGAAAAATCACGAAAATTAGCAAATTATTTTGAGTTAAGAATTCGTAAAAATTTTTCTTTTTAAATCTAAGATTTGAAAATGAAACACAAGATTCCTTATAAGATTATCTACCTTTATCAATAAAAAAATCTCTACCGGACAGTCAAATTAAATTTTTATGAGCGTTTGAAATTCAAATTTTTACAATATTGGATTTTCACTCGATTTCTCATGTAGCGATTTCCTTATTTTGTTGTAATTCAAAAACGAATAACTGTAGATACATGAAAATTTCACTGAATGTTTATATTAGCATTTCCTATACACCATACAATTTTGAAAATATTTTGACTCTTTTTGAGCTGTTTATGGACATTTACAGCTTTCAATTTTTTTTAGTTTTTTTTTCTATAAATATCAATAAAGTTTTATCTGTTGGGCCAAAAAGTGTAAAAATTTAATACAAGGCTCCTGATATATTGTTACAATATCAGTTGAAAAATATTAAAAATACATAGGCACGATTTTTTTTATAAGCATTTAAAGTTGGAATTTTGACAAAATTTATCAAAATCTAGAAAATTATCAATCGTTGGACTTAAAAAATTATAAAATGTTCAGTTTTTATAACTAAGAG